CTTTAAAGGTTTAAGATTGGGTGCACATAAACCTAGCAAATATATTTCATAAATGCTTGGGGAGGAGAAGTTTACAGGAATAAGCTCTTCTCACAATCATCACTATTGTCTTTTACTCAGTCCAGTTGAAAGCTACATATACACATTTTAAAGGTGAACATGATATACATTTACATCTTTCATAACCCTGTTTCTTCTTCCATGTGCTTGTTATTCAGTAGTACATTAAGTGAAAATTCAAATTAAGTTGTTGGCTCCGCTTTTATAAGTAGAATTACCACCAGGATCTTTTAAAAATTCCCAGATATATAGGTCATAACATAATACATCTTCTTTTAATTCATATCTTCTCATGGACAATATCATCACTATTTTCTGTCTCATTCTTGGTATTTCATATCTCCTTAAAACTATTATTAGTAAAGTGAATTATATGTAAACCCTGGCAAGAACACATATTATGAGAGTCTACATAGAAAAATGATAGTGACAAAAAAACCAAGGATCTTTATTGCAAAACACAATGCTCTTTATGCAAAAGCCATAGACATGGTTTAAGTCATAGTTCTGTGTATTGTTTAGCAGTCACTTAAAATTTTTGAGACTTATTTTCTTCATCTGTAAATAGGATATTTTTCCTACTTCATAGCATTGTTATCAGATGAAAGATAATAGCAGTTGTGTTCTTTAAAAGCCTATGTTTTAAAAAGCCATTGAGAAAGTGAGTGAAGGACAATAACAATGATTGTGAGATGAGCTTATTCGTGTAACTCCACTTCCCCCTAAATTTCTCTGAGATACATTTGCTAGGTTTATGTTCATGTCCATTTCTAAATCTTTAAAGTAATATAGAGACTAAATACTGGGGGTTGATTAGGTAATGAAAATATCTTTATAAGTAATAGCACTGAATTACTCCAAAGTAAAAACCGTTAGTCACAGACAGACATGGTAAAACAAAGAGAGTGGTCTGGGACTTTGCAGACTTTTGTTACTAACACGTAATTAACTATGTGTAAATGAACAGGTCACTTGAACTGTCTGGTCCTCAGATTCTTCACCTGTAAAAACTTCTGGAGTTTTAGAATTTGGTAATTTAGTGTAACTAGAGAATAGGAAAGCTCTCTGTGGCTACTAATGAAAGATGGTTAATATGTATCTTATTGTTCAGTTCTATTCAACATATTTTTATTTAGCATTGACTGTGTACAAAGGACTCTGCTAAGAATTGTATATAATTAAAACAGTAACAAAATGCAGTTCCTGTCTGTCAGAGCTAGTGATCTGTCTTGAGGAGAGGTAACCATAATGCTCATTAGAATTTAAGTGCACTGTACAAGGACAAGTGCGAGGGCTACCTAAGAGACAGGAAAAAGAAGACACAAGAAAAGGTGGCATTTGGCTGAATTTTGAGGGGTAAATCCATTTCAACAAGCAAGTTTGTTACAAGAAGGTATTCCAGGTGGAATAACAGACTTAAGCAAATATACCAGCAGAGAGGCTTTGGAAAAATATTGAGCAATATTTTGCAACATACCAAGTATCAGAGTGAGAAGTTGAAGTTGAAGCAGCCAAAGTGGGTTCTTTACAGATTCTGGAAAAACTCAGCAGTAATTCTGGTAAGAGCTTTTCCTGTTTTACAGGGAATAAATATGAGTGACATCAAATAAAAATCAACATGACCTGGCAAGTGATTAGACATGGACATCAGGCGAGAGAAATTAGTAAAAATATGCTCCAACATAGCATATTTATGAGGCCAGTTTTCTTTATTAACGTGTTTTGTGGTGGTCTTATTTTGTGTTATTGAATTTGAAATGTTTGTACAGAACCAAGTAGAAATAGCTATTCAGCAGGCAGTTGTTGTTCTTCAGCGGTTAGAAGCCATGGAATTAGATGAGTTATTCATGTCAGAAAGTAAAGAATGTCAAGGACTGATCCTAAATTCCAACAAAATGTGCTCTTATTTCAGCAAATGACCCTAGGAAGAGAAATCTTGAAGCATACTAAGGTCAAATAGGAGGCAGCCTGGATAGTAAGGTGTCCTGGAGCTAAGAAAGTGACAGCTAGCTTTTTTATCAGCACCTGACCACCATGTGCTAAGTAAGCATTACGGTAGGTTCTTTAGATACATAATCCAAATAAATTCTTATAGCCATCTTGAGAACTAAGTATAGTTATCATAATTTATATATATAGATGAAGAACCTAGTAGAGAGATTAGACATAGCACAATGAGGAAATGGAAAAGTTAGATTCAGATACAGATAGGTCTATGTCCTATAGTAACCTTGCCTCTATAACTTGCTATATGTGCTAGGGGAGACTTTCACGGAGAGTGTAACTGGGAGTGCTATGTACTGTAGGTAGCTCAAACAGGGCGGACACTCACAAAAAACTTTAATATTAAGCAGTGAATATTAATACAGATCATTTCAGTGATCTATAAGAAAGTCGTCTTCATAAAATATACTACATAAAAGCCAATGGAATACAAAAACTCTAAAGGTCTGTTCAAAGAAAGTGAGAAAATAAAAGTAGCTGGACCTTTCTGAGTTTGATGAAGGAAAGAAATGGTAGTGCAAAGATGCATAAAAGTTGAGGAAAGCCTATTTCGTTGAATCGCCTGTTCATTTTCTTTATTAACAGAAGACTTGAACATGCTGATAAACTTGAAAAATCTGGAGGAGAAAGGAGATTCAAATAATTGAGGGAAAAAATATAATGATGGAGCAAAGTTCTACACAAAGTGATAGGAAATAGAATCAATAGCATTCTTTGAAAAGAAAAAGGTTAATTCATCTAGAAAAGAAAGAATAGTGATTTACAGAGAAATGTGTTAGAGAGGAAGAAATTTAAGAGACCTTTTCCTTTATCTTCTCAGAGAAGGAAGATGCAAAGTCATCTCGTAAGGCAGGTGGTTATCCAATTGTGTGAACTGGGAAATGTTTGGAATCCTTCCCACAGAGAAAAACATAAGCAAGAGTCAACTAGAGGTGGACAAAAGAATTTCCAAACAACTCATCATATACTAATAATAGAGTAAAAATTTTCTAGTTGAGCCAATTGGCACAATTTTGTGACTTTTTCTGGTAACTCTCAACCACCCAGTAGTAAGATCAGAAAAAATGCACCATGCTATTTTCCCAGGTGAGACTTAGGAAAGTTGAGGTGACAACATATCATGGGAACTTCTTGATGATAAGAAGAAGCTATAGGAAGTGATGGTCAATTGATCCAGACTGGACCTAGAGGACATTAAAATAAAAATAGTTAAAGGAATTAAAGATACAACCAGTGTGAAGAACAGATTTATTAAGAGTAAGGGAAAAAGAAAAAGAATAGGTAGTTATAGCCACAGAAGGGGATTTTGAAATTTAAGAGTTTAAAATGAGATAGTTTTGACTGATGATTGTTTTTACACCTTCACTTGAAGTGCCATTAATGTTCAGGTCATCCAGCTGTCTCACTTATTATAAAGTGAAAGACCAGGTAGTCAAGTGTTTTCCAAAAGTTACTCCATGATCCAGTGCCATAGACAGGACTAAACCCAGAATCTTCTGAGGGGCATTTTGGAATTTTAAATAAAATGATAGTCATTAAATCCTATAACCTTAAAAAAGAATGGTAGATATAGTCAAGTGAATAGAAACCAATCTTATCCATTATATAGCCACAGTAAAACATACAGTATACATATATTTCCTATTTCAAAACTTGTATTATGGTATTCCTCTTTCCTGTTTCGGCTTCCTCTCAAAGAATAGATAATATAAAAGTTTTCTCCAGGTTGAATTAACAGCTTTCTCTTCAACATGCATTGGGAAAAGAACTAAGCCTAAAGAATGTGCTACTGGCTGCCATCCTAAAGTGCACTGTAAATGGCATCAAGTTATTTCAGTGCTAGTGTTCACACCCATGGTGATATATTGGTTCCACCATTTTAGCTTTCTTAATATTTCTTATGGTTATAAAAAACTAGTTTCTCTTGATTATTGGAATGAGTTTTTAAACTACAGTAAAATGTAATTGAAATGTTTAGAAATAGAAGGGAAGTTGTATTTTAAAGTTCCGTTAAAGCAAATTAACCAAGCAGAAATTTGTTACTCATATCTTAGCATTCATCCCTCTCTTGACCTTCAGGGAAGGATATAAATTTAAACACAGAATGTAAGATTTGCATTTCGTGACCTTCTCAATACACATAACTCATATTTTACCTTGAAAATATTTTTCTTCATTAAGTTCTTAATTAAGTATGTGTATCACCAAGTTTGTTTAGGAAAACTCACTTTCATTGACTCTTTTGTAACTTTAAAAATTTTATTTTGAAGATTCAATCAAGAAAGACTTAATCCTTTCAAGTGATGACTTACTAAGAGGGCCACAAGGGAGTTGTCCTCCTGGACTGGCAGCAGCATTTGATTGCTGACATTGCTTAGAATACTGGTGCATCGTGATATTAAAAAGAAAATCTGGGTGTTGGTCGATTTTGTTATTGTTCTTAGACTCTGCAGACAATGCACTTGCTTACTGCTTACCTCTAAGAGGAACCACTTCTACCCTACCCCCACCTTGATTTGCTACTAATGTCAAGTTGAAGATTGACTAAAATGGTGTTACAGAAAGACAAACTACGATCTAAAGCAGTGTCTGAAGACTGTGGTATGGAGGCCAAACCTGGCTTATGACTATTTTGTGAATACAATTTTTTCATTACCTTTGCTTAACTTTGACTACTTTTGCACTACAACCAGTGTTGAGAAGTTGGGATAGAGACCTTATGGCCCTCAAAGCCTAAAATATTTACTATCAGGCCTTTTACAGAAGAAGTTATCTGACCTTGGATCAAGAATCAAAGCATAACTTACTTTGTTGACATGTAAGCAAAACAATTACTTCACATTCATATTGTGGAGCAGTAATTTAACAGTTGTCTTTGTTAAATGTTTACCATTGACCAATATTTTATTTACCTACAAATTTTCCTCTCTTTGTAGTCCCTGCTATGTGGATATTTGTTAGCAATGACTGATGTGGAAACTACATATGCAGATTTTATTGCTTCAGGAAGAACAGGTAGAAGAAATGCAATACATGATATCCTGGTTTCCTCTGCAAGCGGCAATAGCAATGAATTAGCCTTGAAATTAGCAGGTCTTGATATCAACAAGACAGGTGAGTTGTTTGATACACATCTTTCTATGAACCCAGATTGATTTGCAGGATTTCATTAAATAGGAGGCAGGCATGAAAACCACCTTTGAAAACCTAATAGAGTTATAAACAGTCTAAAGCAAGATTTAAAAAATCAGAGGCTATATTAATCATTCCTACTTGTTTTCAATGACTTCTCTTCACAGGGTTTTTCCATTCAAATATAGAGGACTTAATCTGATTTTACTAATACAATCAATTTTAAAACACATGGGTTTTTAAAATCCTAATCCCTATAATATAAAGTTCTAGAATTTCTTATGTAGACATAAATAAGTCTTAGATAAAGAATTTTTGTCTTTCTGTCATGATAAAATGGGTTTGTGAAAAGTTTGTCTTATTATTGAGCCTCAAACTTTCCAAGGAGTCTAACTTTACCCATGAAAAAGTAAAACAAGTTTGATGTCACAGTACTTCTGAGTATGTGAATGAAGCCTGATAGTTATTACATCTGTAGCTTTTGCAAATACCAAAGCTGAGTGTATTTCCCTTGAGAAAACTACAAATAAATAACCTTTCAAAGTAAAAAGGAGTTCATGATTTAAGAACTAAAGTGTTGTGTATATGGAAAAAGCACTTAGTTTCTGAGTCATGGTAATCACTCAGTACTTTTTTGCTATTAGAATTTTTTTGGCAAAGCCTTCCAGTTACTGGAAAACAGAGTCAGAGTCTATGTTAATGACACAGCTTAACAACATTACCTTAAAATACCAAGGGACAGTTCTTCTTCAATGGCTGTAGGTCAGCAGGTCAGTTGGTCTTTTCAAATTCAGATTGAAAATAAAACTTTAACATCACCACCTTGGAATATATAGACCTATATATATTTTAGGTTGTGTTGTTTCTTCATTATTACCACCAGGAGTTACTTCTCAAAGCAGCTCTGAGAAAGGCTATATAGGGAATTATCCAATTTGATGGCATGAGGTAAGTAATTTTTTTTTTCAGCAATTGAGAATTTGCTAATTTCTTTCATAAGATTTACATTTTGTTATATTAATATCTATTTTAAATAATCTGCATTAATTCTAATGACTCAATAGTAGGTCATTTTTATTCATAGTAGAGTTTAATTTTTTCTTTCTTCACTGAAATTGAGACTCAGCCCTAAGACTTATACAAGAGAATACATTAAATTATTATGTAATAATTTATAAGACAGTAGTTTATATTAATACAATAGAGTAATTTTATATTAATTATATTATTATTAAATGTCTTTTTTTAAAGGTTTCTACATATTAATTGTAGTTTTCCTAGGCCTTAAAATTTTTCTGTTTTGAAATCATAAAGCCCTAAACTAAGCAAAATATAAACAGCACTGGCTGTGTTATTTTAAGTATAAAGAACTAAAAATAATAATAACTACAATACTGACAAATGTAAAATGACTAATGAAACATCACCAGCTGAGAATCATGAGGGGCTTTTTATAATTCCTGAGTGTTTCAGCTTCTTTTTAGTTTATAATCAACAATATTTCTGTCCCCTGGTTAAATTGATTTGTTAGTGAGTATCTATTTAGCCAGGGCTTTGTGTTTGTAGCATTATGCTAAACCCTGAGAAGTGCCCCCATACACTTAGAAAGTTCCAAGTCACATGTGAGTCAACTTCCTCATCTTGTATGTATGCAGTCGTGTTCATCCTTGAATATTCTACTGTTTTGCATCTACCTCAATTTGACTTCATTCCTTTGGTTATCAAGAACTTCTGTTTATCAAATTCTTACTGCGTGCTAATCTACACATCTCAGATTCAGGCCATCTGCACATTTTGGGAGCCTGTTCCTTGCTCAGATAATAAAAGTAGTTTATGAAAATGATACATGTCTGGTGTTACCTTTGGAACCCCTTTAGAACAAACTTTTGATTATGTAGAACTTTTAATTTCCTTAAAGTATAATATACAGTGAGATGTTTTATGTGTACTTTTTAAGAGTAAAGGAGAAATTATCTTTCAACATTTCCATCTGAAGAATGGATCAGCTCGCTTACACTCTATCCATTTGAATTACTGTTACAAACTCTTAGCAAACATTGATATAATTTACGTTGTTGCAATACCCTAAAATATTTTGTCCACTGGTTGCTTAGCAATGTACTAACACATGCAAATAGATGAATCTGAGTCAAGGTTTGCTTGCCGCTTGCACTAAGTAAAGTGACCTAATATGAAGAGACAGCATTGTTTAATTTCACTGTTTGCTCTATCACTAGCTGAGATTGCTGCTGAGGGTCCAGTTATGACAATGGTTTTATTGGAGCTGTGCATGTGTTTTCTAAGGGCAAACCAGAGGCCATCATAACTATATGACAAGGGACTAACCAGCTGACATAATGTCCTTTCCTCTTCCACTGTTGCTTTTAATTTTAAGTAATTAAACCTCTGAGAAACTAAGTGGGCTATCATCAGGTGCTATAAATAATATAAAATGTGATTTTAAAATAGTTCTTAAAATAAGACTGTCAGGAGTACAAAGGTAAATGTGCTCTCCACTTCTAATTTCTGCAACTTGTGAAACAATATTTAAGTGCCATAAGGGCATGAAATTTCCAGCTATTTATCAACAGCATAGATGATACCAAGTACTGTGACCCTCAGTTATTTTGCTTTTGAGCCATGCTGTTCTAAGTCCACATAATCACAATTACCCAACCCTTGAAACATACTATTTTCTTGATGGGGAATTACCAAGAATATGCTTGTCTCTCTAAGAATTTCAGACTTTATGAGTATTTCTGAAATTTCCAATATGATACATTAAGAGTTGGAAAATATACATAATGGTTTCTTATTTTGTCTTTATCCTTTTTTCATTGTCTTTTACAGAAGGTGAAGAAGATGGACAGCGAAATTCGACAGAGCAAAGTGGGGAAACCCAGGGGGAAGCAGCAAAATCTGAAAGCTAACACCCCACTTTGATCTTCAACAGCATCTGACAATGTCTCAAATCTCTAGGCCTGGCTGGAATACATTTGTTTCCAAGAGTAAAAAGGGGAAAAAGAAAATGGTTGTGTTGCATTGTAGGAAACTGTTCGTTATCATGTTAAAAATGGGGGCAGAGGCTGTGGGTGCAGACAGACTTTTCTCTACCTCTGTCATTAGCAATGGTTGACAGCATGTGGCTTGTGTTTGGATGTCATTTTTGTATGGGTCCTTTCACTTGACCATATGATGAAATGCTTGCAGAAAGTAGCACCGACCTAGATGACGATTCTTCCTGTAGCATCTGGCCCTTCACAATGTCAGAGGATTTAATTGTGTCTATTTGCAATGGGTTGGTTGAGCCCCAGAGTTTAAATATCTCTGGTCCAAGTATTTACCCAGTAAAAGAACCATCCAGAAAGCACTGTTTTTGGCATCATGTATTTGTGTGTCCCTGCTGTGTTATTTACAGTTTTATATTGTACAATATAGATGCTCAGCACTGCCCCTTTCTCTGATTGCTTATGAAAAACAAAAATGATGTACATTACTGTGAATTTTTATACCACTCATTTTTAAAAGGGCTGCCTTTTTTTCCATCTCCATGGGGTGATGGTGTACACAGGATAGAACACACTTTCTTTTTAACTCAGTCTTCCCCCTTGATTCACTGTTGATTAATTAAGTCAGATTAATTAATCAAGACTCCTTTGCTTTATTACACAGACATTAAAAAATATCCATTAATGTGAATATTACCTGAATTCGGTCTGTTTGGTGTCTACACAGGCCAGAATTCAATCTGCAAATTTTGTTTTATTTCAAAATAGATAATTTTTCCCAACAAATATTTTATTTTAAATTAGGAGGATTTGGGATAATTGGGAAGGTGGGAAAGAAAGCCAAGATAATACAAAGAATTGGAAATATTTAGTTCTTAAATGGGATCAAATTTCTCATAATGTTGTATGCTACTATTTAAATTTAGAGGAGCTGCAAAAGATGAAAAATAATTTCTCCATGTAATCATGTGGACACCAATCACAAAAGTGATCCCTTGTGTTGTGTTTTTCATGTCTTTTTCAGCCCTATCAAATCTACGTTATTAAGCACTTTTTACTGTTTGTAAACTTTACTAATAATTAGTGTGAATTGCTTTCTGATACAATAATAATCATTAGAAGCTGACAAAATCCTCATTAATAATGTTGATGGCCTCTGCTGTGTTTTGACATCATAATTCTTATGTGGAAAGTTGCTGTGTAATCCCTCTGGTCAGTATTACTAAGTCATTTATCAGTGGTAATAAGGAACCAGTAATATGCCAGTGGGTTATGAATCACTGGAAAAATAGCAGACTATAGGAAAAACCCATACAATAAAGAGCCCACTTAACTGTCCTTGAGGTTTAGATATAGTACCGTGAAGGTAATCTCTGTGGACAGACCAGGTACACAGACCTCCTTTGTAGTTGCATACAGGGTGGAAGGTAAGTCTGCTCTCATCTCCCTTTACAGTTCATTTCAAATGAGTGGGATAAGGGCATGGGTACCACTTGGTCCTTGATCATATATTACTAGAAAAAAACGTTAACAAAATGAATCTCAGAAAATAGAAAGGGGAAAGATTAAATTTTAGAGGACTTCTTTCTATCTAACCAATAGGGCCCAAAATATCCACTTAAAATTTAAACAAATGCACTTCTTAATAGACTCACAAGTGGCAAAAGAAGTTCTTAACACTATTTTAGACAACCTCTGGTGGTCTGTTTAAATCCATAAAATCACTTTTTCAATATCCTCATTTACTATCTCCATAGCTTTGTAAAGTTCTGAGTAAAGTTCTTTTCTCCTTAAAACTGTGGAATTCCAAACTGATTTTATGTGGTTTATAAAGTTTAGAACTAGTGCTGAGTATATGTGGAGGATTTAATATCCCTGTGTGATATACTATTATTATGCATGTGATGTCATGCTTGTCTTTGAATATATAATAGTGCTAAATTGCAAAGTCATATGGAGCTTTTGAATTATTTTTGACCTCTTACTGCTACTTTGTCTGCTATATTCAAACCCAGAGGGATTCTCAAGCTGGAAGATAAAAATATACTTTCCAAAATGTCCACATCTTACAAATGTTGCTCAGCAAAAGTTCACAGTATCTTCCAAGTTTTATTGTAATATCTTTTACTTGCAAGTCAATATTACATATGGAACTTAATTTTTAAGGAGAGAAGAAAAGGGCAGAAAACTAAGGCACTGATTTGATAATAAGCACTGAATGCCTATCAACCAACTGACCTTATGCTAATCACTTCCCAACACAGAGTCTCCCATTTAACCCTGGAACAGTTTCATTAAAGAGGTAGCATTACTTCATCTCACAGATTAGGAAATTAAGGCTCAATAAAGTATAAGTTTTCCAAGTTTAAAAGGCTAATAAATGATAAACTTAAGATTTGAACCTATCCTTGTTTTCAAGGAGATTTCTACTGCACATGCCATAAGACTAAAGCCAATTTCAGAGCATGTTTATCTGTAAGGGAACATTTAGAGATAAACTGGTTCAGCCTCCGTTTTTAGAGAAAGAAACTGAGTCCCAGAAAGGAGAATTGCCTTTCCCAAGATTACCCAGATAAGTAGTGACACAGATGTCACTATATCATAGAAAGTACACTTTAGAAAAAAATTCAATTAGAATTATTTTGTATGTTGTATTTCCCAAAAGATATTTTTCTGGCATGTAGTAAATTTAGCATAGTTCAGATATTTTATGTTCCATGCTTCTCATTTTGTTTAATTAACTTAAAATAAGACACTCTCTTTTTCTACTCAATTGCAACGAGTGTGAACTTGTCACATTTACATTTTATCAGTTGTAAGTATCCTATGCCAATACATTGTTATCATGAATTCATAAAAATGTTTTTCCAATAGGTAACAGTCAGCCTTCAATTTTAGGCAATACTCCCAGAACTGCGCACTGTAAATGCCCTACACTTGAGTCTTATGCAGATACAGTGGAAAAGCACTATTTTATGAGGTGAATAATACTGTTCTTTCTCTCCAGAGAAGCAATAATGGGTAAGGAAATATAACTGATGGGCATCAAAACTTCTGAGTAAAGTAAGTCTGTACTAATAGGGAGAAAATGTAGAGTCATCAAGTGATAATAGGAGAGGCTCCATGATTTATGATGTCTTAAGAGGCACTAAATTGCTCTTTAAAGTGGCAGTCTCTGAAGTCATTCGTGAGCTTGTATGACTTTTGTATTTAGCAATGTTGCATGCTCACATAATTGATATTAAAAGTAATACATTTTTCTGAAATGTACACAGTCTATTAAGAGTATTTATTGAATACACATTATGTAGTTGATGTTCAAGAAAGCGCTATGGGTGATAAAGGAGAAATCCAAAGCCTCACCCATCCTGTGGTGGACTTCCTAGAATTCCAGCCTCATTTTTTCCTGGCTTTGACTCCAGCAATTTTCACCTCCATTCCACTCTGGTAGCCCACTTTCTGGACTTTATCACTTACCACAGCCAACTCTTAAATCATAAATCCCAATTATCACTCCTCCTGTGGTTTTTGCTCATCTTCAGGGCAGTGATTTTTCAATCAGAAGAAAGACAGGTGTTTATCAGAATCCTCTGCAAGTTTTTCACAACACTCCCTCCTCTACGGGTACACACACAGATACATTCACACACAAACACTCTCTTCTCTTTGAAAACACTCTCTATGCTACTTCGGTGTCTTTTTTTCCTCCCACCCTCACCCCCACAACTTGAGAGCCATTGATGTAGAAGATGTGCAAGGTTTGCAAATGCATTTTCCCTGTTAACTCCTGAAAAACTTTAAAATGAGTCAGTAACAACATGGAGTACTCACAGACATCCATGGTTTTACTATTTTAAGGGTAACATCTTGGGGTAGAGGAGTAAACAGAGTTTACCTTCTCTTATCTTGGTGTTCCTCTCTTTTCATCATATGTTTACCACATACAGTCAGTGAAGACCAAGCAGAGACTAACGTGGGACTCAAGAGAAAGAAGCATCACATAGCATTCAGCCTGAGTCCAAGGAAGGTCTTAAGCTGAAGGGGCAAAAGAGGATGTACATATTTAAGTTCATCTTACTCAGGTCATAATGAGAAGACACTACATGGGATATGGGGACAAAATACTTACCAGTGCAACAAGCTTATGTTACCTCTGGTGAACTTCTTCTCAGATATTATTTACATCTGTCTAGTCCAGGATATGGGGAATTGGGATTCTGGCTACCTCTCATTATAAAGTTTAAATTAACAAACCTATATGACTATAACCCACTTTCTAAGTTGCACCACATCTATTTTCAGATCATATCAAGACAGATGTTTCCCCAGCATCCTTCCTTATCTTTCTGCCATCTTGCCTTTGGAATAACTGTAAAACATTTATAACAATGCTTATTCATTGCCTGCAACCTCAGTTTAGACATAAATGCTGTACAGCTTTTTTTTTTTCACGTCTCCAGGGACAAAGGACATTTCCACCTTCATCTAAAATTTGTTCCTTCATCTGAGATTTTTAAACCATTTTCCTTCTGATGTTAAGAGGAAGTATGTTAATTATCCAGTCCTCATTTCTTCACAGGAGTGGTTGCCACAAATATAGGCACTAACCTAGACACTGGCCATTCAGAGATGGGCAAGATTATCTTGTACTTCATAGTTCTGTGTTCCATTTTACTCTGGGATGACTTGCCAGTACCAACACTAGCTCCTCCCAACTACAGCCACATACAAACAAAAATACTCAACTTCTTTGTATCCAGTCCCACTCTAGTTCTTTGAATTAGCTCTAAACAAATCAATTCCTGTTGTCAAATATAATGGATACATATAACTTATGTGTGTTTTATTAGCCTACCTTGTGGCATTTAATCCTGGTCACCTGGTTTATTGGATAGCATAATGTGAATTTCCTAAAAGCATCTTAAAGTTCAACATTCCAGCACCAAATCCAGTGTAGGACCCTATTCCCAAACCTGCTGTTCTTCATATGGTCTAGATCTCATATAATGGTAGCATGGGTTTCCCAGCAACCTTAAATAAAAATTTTTACAATTCTCTTAACTCTTCTCCTTCCAGTTTGTTTTCCGGTCCATTAATTCTTAACTATTTATGAAAACATCCCACTTCTTTTTGTCTGCACTGTAACCTTTCTGCCATCACTTACCTAATATAAGGCAGTAACCTGTTCACCAGGACCTGCCTCCTCCAGCACTCTTTCTATCCATCTTGCAACTAGTTGTATCTTTCTAATAAGTTTGATTGTGTCATTCCCCTAATTTTAAAAAATCCTTAAATTTAGCCAGACAAAACTTTTTGATATAAATGTCACATTTTATTTTTATATTCACTCTGCTTTGTT